TCGGCGCCGGTTCAAGTCGGACAAAATTTCTAACCGGCATGCACTGCTTCAAGTCAGCTGCCGATCGGTTTGCGCGGCGCTGCATGAAGTCGAACGCACCTATTGCCTCACTCCATTCGTTCAAAAACGTGGCTTCATTCAGTAAGGAAACACGGCTGTGTGTTGCTCGGAGACACACAACAGTTCTGCTGTGGCTTTGATCGGAACTATTTTCGTCAGCGAAAACAGTCAATATTTTGTCTAAATCTAAGTCACTTAATTTAAACTTCTTGTTTATTGAAATACTATTGTATAAAATAGTATAGTATATGAAACATCATGGCCGTATAATGTTGCTTACCTAAATCATATTTTGTAAATATCTTTTTTTTTCTACCGCAGTACGCATCTTTAAATTTCTGTGAGTTACTTTGTGTGTGCTGTCTCTCTCACACACTCACTCAGGCAGGGGCGTGTCTACGTGGTGGCCAGGGGTGGCACCGGCCCCCCCCGAAATTTGGCTGGCCACCCCAGGTGCCCCCCCCCTACCAGATGTCTTGCCATAGGCTTGTTTTTAGTAAATTTCTAATTTTACGCGGTTTCTATAGTGTGATCTTAATGCCAATGTCGAGAGCGCATAATGTTACGCGATCCATGTGCGCGAGGACGAATCTCTCCACTCCCAAGCGGATTTCCTTCACTCACACAAAACTGGACGTGTGCTTTTAACATACATCGTTCCGCAAACACATGGCGTTGTGCCCCCGACTGGCCCCCCCATTTAAAATGCTTTAGACACGCCCCTGCACTCAGGCTGTGCAAGCCTCATCTGGCACGACATAAATACATTATCAGTCACCGTTTACACGAATGCAATTAAAATTAGAATCATTCTCACGCGAAACGACACATTTACACGCGACTGTGAGTGTGCACGTGGCTGTGACGTCATTGCCGGCGCCGCTGGTAATAAAACGATCGGCTCTAATCGGCAAGACGTGAGACTGACCGGCCGGATCGGGCCGGTCATGCGAAAAATCGGCCGATTCCGATCACTGGCCGGTCAATCGGTACATCTCTAGGTCCTGTTCTCCGGCCTTAGTTTATTTCATTGACCTAGTTTCCTGTGTTTGTTTTATTAAATAATTAGTCCCACTCTTGCTTTGGTATAAGTATTCCCCATTTCTTTTCAATCCCTGCCATTTATTAATGTTGCTTAAGTTGCTGTTTGGTTGTGGATACTGTGCTGGAATACCTGTTCTTCTATGGATTACAATTAAAAGGACTGTTCCCAGATAGCATGTAGTAATCGGCCCGAGCGCCCACAGCCGATGTAGTAATCGGCTACTGCATCGCTGATGTCAGCTGATGTCTCTCAAGCTCTGCGCTCTTCTCTCATCACCTTAATCTGGGAGAATAACATCTTTTGGAGTTCATCATCCTTCAAACCCGGAAGAACGTGAAGAATTCCAACACCACCAATCCTTCAAACCATCAAACTTTCATCTGAGACTGCATCCGGACACTTGTTCAATGACCAAGGCAATGCAAGTATCGTACATTTAACTAAACGAAACAGAGGTTTAGTATAAGCTGTAGACCCCATTGTAAAACGGCACTGGTGGTTTTTAACTCAGGTGGTTCTGACTCATTTTTCATGACTGCATTCATTGGTTTCTCTAATGGCTTCATTCATCCACTTTAGCTCCCCTTTGTATGTTCACGTGAGTGTATGTTTATTCGTTTGTTTGTTTAGACTAGTTATGTGTGTTAGCATTTAGCTAATAAAACTTTTGTGCACACTGTGGCCACGAAAATATCCTTTCTTAGAGTTGATATGAACTTACACTGAATGTTCACTGGACGAACAGATTAGTTGATGACAATATTAATTCTGCTACAGTTACTACTGGCAGCTGATAAAAATTATTGTAATTAATTATAATTAATTGTAATTATGTATATACATTTCCCTTTTGAGCTAATTTGCTACAGACCCAAAGTCTAAGCCAGAGACCAAGATGGAGCCAGAGCCTGGAACCATGTCCATCTCGGAGCCAGAGTCAGTAGCCTGGCCCATCCCAGAACCAGACGTAGAGGAATGGCTCATAAATTTGGAGGACATGGAACCTGTCCCCCTTTCTACCCACCCTCAAATTCTCCACCAGTTTTGTCTGGTTGGAGTCTCCTATCCATACCAGTTCCCTAGCCTTTCCTCCTCTGCTGGTCCCCATCTTCCCCATGGCTCCACCTCTAACTTCTGAGCCTGTGGCTATGCTTGTGTCCTCCAGTCCTGTGGCTACACCTGGCTCATCCACCTTTCTTCAGATCCTACTCCATGTCTTCCCAACCCACAGCTCTGCCTTGGTCCTCGGATCCCCTAGTCTCAACCTCAGTTTCGAAGTCATCATCTGATTGGTTGAATTCTACAGGATTTCATGGAAACGTGTGTGACACGTTCTTTAATGTTCGGTCTGGAAACAAAGATGCCGTGATGGCAACCCCCTCATAGAAGAAAGCTGTCATATTTACAACTGTGACAATGAGCGCTTATCAAGGATCAACTAAACACTGGATTTTTGTGAAATGTGAAATATGAAAAACATGAAAATATGAAAAAAATATTACTTTTGTATGTGAAATATGTAAAGTTTGCGGCATAGACATTTTAAATACATCCAAGAGATTTACACGCTGGTCTGTTATTGTGGGGACATTTCCAATATTGTGAATCACTGTGAATATTCAATATATTGACCAGCATATTTATTAATGTGACGCTTTTATATGACAGGTCAAGTGAAGACAGAGAGGAGAGAATGGGATAAGGCCTAAACCTCCATCCCCAAGAAACAACAGCTGCACTACTCACTACACCACAGGTCCAATCTCATTCTGGTTTATATACGTAGCCAGTGTAACTTAAAAAATTTAAATAATGTAGCATATAAACTAAAAACACTACTAAACACAACCCAAATGTCCCACAAAACATGTTTTTGGCCACCAAATCCATCAGAAAAAAAACTAATCTTCAACCAGGCACTGCTGGAAGCCTTGCTGACCCATGTTCTGCTTGCTCCAACATCCCTCCCACATCTGCTTCCAATAAGTGGGACATACTCCTCTCTACAGCTAATCAAATTCAGACCACAGAGCATTAAAACATGTTCCCTCATTCCCACTACACCAGCCATTCATTACACCCTCTTTCTCTTTTCAGTAACCCAGTAACTAACCATCTCAAGGCCCTTTTGTCATATATCTGTAGAGCCATCCTATGATTTCTTATTCTCATATAATTCATTTTTAAGGGGTTAGTTCCCCCAAAAGTGACAATTCCAGCATCATTTACTCAACCTCATAATTTTACAAACACGTTTTTGATCTTTCTTCCTACAACATCTAGTCAGTGAGTTGAACTAGAGAACAAATATTTCAGTTTTGGGAATCAACCACATGATTTACAATATCTGACTCAGAAGTATAATTTGCTTTTCTCTCATGAGTTCTCATAAATACTCGAAGGAGAACTACAGCATATTTTACATACACAATATTTCTGATATTACTTACACAAAGAGAGGGTTTAAAAGACTTGAATAAATGGATATAGTGCATATGGCAGACCCCATTTTTGTGCCGTTAAGTTTTTTTTTTTTGTTGACAATTGTTAACAGCCAAAGTCACCGCAGGGGTTTTATTATTTTTATGATTTAAGAATATACAGTTTACAAGGCATCTAACCGTTTAGGCTTGTCCATTATGGCAGTGTTTCCAAAAGCTGGAGCTTCACAAAACTGCACATTTTAAATGCCTCCCTTATCTAAACAATCTGATTTTCTCATTAAGTCATCAGCTTGTTAGTAGAGTGCTCATGAACTGAATTGGGTGTGTCAAATAAGGTTCAAACATATGGCACAGTCCTATTCATTTTAATGTATAGTGCTGATATGGCAGCTTGTTGAAGACCAAAATTTAATTAGGGTTTATCTGATTTGATTTCCTTTACTTTGCAGGTTTTTTAGCTACAGCTGCACTGTCCCATACAGGTGTAGTCAGAAACATGGAAGTTTTTGCATTTTTTATTTATTTATTTATTTTACTTTTTTCCCATTTGTGCACCCTTTGTATAAGCAGTCTTAAATAATATTTTATAAAATGCTACCTAAACTATCACATAAAATATTACATATAAAGACAAAACATGTAACAGACTTGGAAGATTATGAGAAGTTCATTTCTTTTTATCAGTGTAGTGAACGCCTTATAAGGGTAAACGCTAGCAAGAGGAACTGAGCTTGCTATTTATATGGGCAAATGTTGTGTTTTTGGACTTACGATCAAAAGGCATCAGATTTAGGCACCCATCAGAGAAGCATAAAGCTTTTCAACAAAAACATGACCAATGCTTATCCCTCTCAATTACATTTAGACCTTTAAAAGATGGCTCAGCAGATGCCAACATAAACAACTCTTTTTCTGTAATGTAATCTTATTTGGTCAAGACCTTTTTTGTTGAAGAGCATTTTCAAGATTAAGCAATTCAGAGGGTATAAAAGAATAATAGTTTAAAAGGTTAACTGTTTAACTACTAAAACCAGCTGAAGATTTCCATTTTCAGTGTTTATTCAAGATAGTATTGTCAACAAAGGGTAGTTGCTTTTTAAACAGTTTATTTTCCTGGTGTTGGTGCCGTTTTACTAATAAGTGTAATTTTGAAAAGGATAGTGGTGGACCAAAGGACAACATTTGCCAGGTTAGGGTTTATCTTTGTGATTCTCCCTAAAATTAAATCAACCTAAAGAGCTCAAACAGTGGTTTTCAAAAGCAGTGTACTTAATTTTAAAATAAGATTTGAAAAAGTCAAGTTCTGAGACCTCGAAATATGTTAAACATCTGGTACAACGTAGCAGCTATGGGTAGATTTATCTACTGGTGTTATAGCTTTAGGACCTCCACAAAGTTTTTTGATATGTGTGATGTTAATCTCGTATATATTCTGAGTGTTCTGGATTTTCTAGGGCAACCACACAACAGTCATACGCATTGCAGTGATATATATTACCCCAAATCCCCATTACAGAGAGCCAAAAAGCCATTCTGTTCAGCACATTCATTGTAAATGAATGTGGGGAGGGGCTGATTCATTCATTACTTCCAAAGCAAATTGCCAAAAGAGATTCCTAGCAACCTTCCTGTTTCCTGAGGCGTGGACCAGATGTTTCACCATTGTGGGAACTCTGGTGTCAGGCTTTTAACACTATTGTGGGTGGAGAACATGCACACAAAAACACAATCTTGTCCCATCTGAGTATCCCATAAAATTAGAATACTGTTCACAGATGCTATTCTGCTGCAGTATATACAATTGCAAACATGGCCATTACGGGTTTGTGGTACTTTTGTTGTCCAAAAATGAATACATTGTTTAGTTATGGCGTAGTTACAGCACTACATATCTGTCTATGAAGTAAGCACATTGTGCATGTATTTACAGGGTATAGTCTAAAAATATTTAGGCTAGATACTAAAGCCACACTTGCAAAATGTCTAAATGTATTACATTATAAAACAAATTAAATATCAAACATCAAGTGACATGTATTTAAAAATGACAAAGAACAAACTTTCCCCAAAAGAAGGTTATTTTATATAGTATGCTGTACAAAAAGTATTGAGACACTTTCAGGTTATCAAACTTTAATGTGATTGACTAAGACACCCGCGTTGATACTTTGTTATCTAATGGAATTTCTTTGATTTTAAAGTGTTGCTTAAGTGTACAAAAACTTTTGGGGCAATTATATCTGTTAGAGATGTAAACCTATTCATATGAATGCTGTATATCCCACCTGCCGGTCATCAGTTGGCTCCTTGAGGGACTACACAGAGGCTGCACATAGTAATTCTCCAGTTTGACTCCTGCTGCAGCGAGTCTGTCCAGTGTTGGGGTCTTTATTTCAGACCCATGATACCCCACGTCTCGAAATCCTTGGTCATCGACCATAATAAAGATGATGTGAGGCTGAGGTGACGGCTTTTCCACGTTGTTCACACGATTCGAATGAAAGCTGCTCTTCCATGTTCCGTATGTTGAGTTGACAATGCCGCTAAAAGTAGTCAAAAGCGTCAAAAGAAACGTACTTCTTCCCATTCGTCCGCACATTGCACCTAAAACCATTCGCTCTAATTAAATTTAAAGTTAAAATTAAAACAGAGGATAACACTGTCTTACTCTTTTCACAGCGCAAAATAACACAGCTGCATGTCATGTTCCAGGAGGGATATCGCTCGGACTGGGGAAACAGACGCGCTTGGAAATTAGGTTCGCAATTTGTCCGACCCTGTTATTACGAACATAGCCATATTTTTGCAGACTTTGTATGGTGTTGAATGCTGTTGTGCCGAGAACATCTATTTTAGTTAAAAGGGCTGTCCAAATATAACAGGATAGTAAAACAAATCTAAAAACCTGAATCTATATGCTCGGATCGGTAACTCGGATCGCAGTAAGTAGTTCTGAGCATCACTCCGTCGTTGTTATACGTTGTTATCAGCGGTCGATCCGTCTGTCTTCAATGACAGACCTTAACTGTCTCATCTTTCGCTGAGGTTACTCTTCAATGCCATATACTGGTGTCCGATTCGCGAATGAATCGTTCTTCGGAGTCTAGTTTTTTTGATGATTCAATTGAACCGATTCACCAAATCACCGGATTGTTAGGGATACCTTTACAACTGAAAACACCTTGATTTATGTAAAATAATCTCAAACGTGGAGATAAATAGCAGTATACAAATATTATTCAACAAAAAGAACGCAAAATAGCATGTGTAAACGTTTGGAAACTCTTTTAACGTCTGAGGTATTGCAAACGAATCAGTGAATCATTTTTAAACGGGTTCATTTAAGCGAACCGATTCACTAAAACAAATGGGACTTCCCAAAACGCTTTATGGACTGCCTCCCAGAGACACAAGAGATGGTGTAGTAACCCGTTGTATTTAATGCATTTTTTAGAGAAGAGGACAACGCCTAATGCCTACACACATACTATTTTAATATGTAGAATGTAGGCTACATAAGTATTGATTCCCTACCCTACTGTCTGAATGACCATACAAACCATGTAATCATGACTATACAGACTGTTAGATTGCCTTTACTTCTTTCCAAAAAGGGTAAAGCAATAATCAGGTTTCTTTATGGTCATTATAGACTGTAGCTCTACTTATTGTTGATAAGGCCTATTTCTACTCACTTCAGCCCACAGATGTGAAAATAATAGCCTATCTCATCAAAGATTATGAGGAGTATTTTTATTTTGTATTATTATTATTATTATTATTTAATACTGATATATACAGTTAACTATTCTGGTGTGAATGGTTGCCCATTCTATGATTACATCAGCAAATTTCCTCTCTTCCTCTAGCAAGTCCTAAACTTAAACTAATCTTAACATCTACTTACATCCTCTGCTCAGTTCACTGAGACACAGTGTTGCTAAGATTAGAGATCTACTTATATTCAGTCAAAAAGTGGTATCTGTATGTTAAAAAATGAAACTACTGGCATTTTTAAAACAGCCCAACAATGATTCTATTTTCTAACTTCATTTACAGCATGATGAAATCAATATAAAGTGTTATGGCTGGTTATTATCACAAAAATTTATGAAGCTGTCAGTGGGGCAGTAAAATACAAAAGCTAAAAGGTACATGTCTGTACCTTATTCACTTTTAAATGGTACATATTAGTAACTTAAGGTACATATTAAAAGTACACATTACCCTTTGAAATCGAAGCCCAGTTTTACATCTTATTTTCTGGTAGTGGTAGGCTACTGATAGCCTGGGTGTCCTGTCCTTTAAAGACAACTTTATGGTAACTTGGTAACTTTATGTGCTAATAGTCTACTTGGAAAGATTTTAAATGTTTAGTTGATTTCATATTCCCCTTGATACTTAAGTTTTATGCAGGGTATTTCCTGCATTTCACGATTCCAGCCAGTCTGTGCTGTGCTCATATATTACATTACTTGTGCAGTTCTATTGTATTACTTAAAAAAATAATCTTTTCCTTTGGTCAAGTATACAGTCAGATGTTATAATCCACATACTTTTTTTATTTTTATAAAGGAACAATGAAAATAATTCTCCCATTGCATTACTCATGAAAGCTAATGTATCTTCAGGAAGGAATCTATTTCACCTTGGCTTGCATTGAAAGAAAAGGAGGAATCTCAATGGGCTTATTGTACTAAACCACATGTCCATGCAGTAAACTACGATACTTCATGTAGCACAGTTTCATTTTCTGGATTCAGGGCTGAATTAAACATTAAACATTTGCAGCACTTCGGCACGTGTTATTTTAGGGCAAAATATAGGTCCTGTAACTAAGTCCCTTTCTATGTAAAACAGGCAATTTATTTAAAATGTATTCACTTGCTAGACACAAGTAATGCTGCTACAGGCAGTGCTAATACTGCCTGTGTAAAACAGGCAGAAGTATATTTAAAAGAGACATTTTCTGTTAAACATACCAGCAATAATTCATCAGTTGCTGGAGAAGAGCATTATAACCATATCCAGATGAGCACACTTTTGCCATTTTAAAGAGCTGTTTCGGGTTTCTGGATTTTGTGATGCTAGTCTGAGAAAAGTCCCAAGCACTCAGAACCAAACCTGCAAGATGGGGAACTGCACCATGGAAATTATGTGCAGTGCAAAATTTTGGCCGTGTTTGTGATGTTAACTGATTTGCATAAATCAAAAACATTGCACATAGCATATGCGATTAAAAAGCTTGTCAGTGGCTGCAATTCATTCTTAGTAAATTCCCCTCTCAGTTGTTCTCCTTGTAAAATTCCAACACCTTCATCTAATTTTTTTTAGCATATCGGAGAGTGTAAACTGGATCAAGATTATTTTTCCCCCCTGTACCACCAGAAAAGAAGTAGCCTAACTGTTCAAAGATCTAGTGGAGAGGATTGATTTCTGGAAATATTCTTCATAATTAGCCAAAGTGTGAAATGAGCCTAACCTTTCTAGGATAATAACACTATCTGCGGCCCCACTGCAAAGAGAGAAGGGCTTTATACACGGTGTAAGAGAAAACATTTTATTCATGAGCTCATAAAGAGTGCAAGGATTTTACAAGACTGGCTGATGGCAAATAACAGTGTGTGCTTTAACAGTAAAGCCTAAAAACAAACTTTACTTGCACAAAATAAGTATCGCGAGTTTGAGAGTATCTGCTGGTTATCTGCCATTTAGAATTTGTACTATTTAGAGTTTTTTTTGTCAAAAGATCCCAAGTCTTTGCTTTCTATATCTCAGGTCCCTCAAAGACAGGGGATTGCTTCAAGGGGTCCTATTATGCTTTTTCACTTTTTCAACTTTAGTTAGTCTGTAATGTTGCTGTTTGAGCATAAAAAAGATCTGCAAAGTTACAAAGCTAAGTCCAATTCAAAAGGAGATATTTTATTTAACAGAAGTTACTGTAAAATTTACAGCAACCTATTTACAGTGTATGTTTCAGATAAAATTTAAAAAGCAGTTCTTAGCATTACAATGGCACACTAAGAATACAGGGGGAAAGGCACACCCAAGGGACAGTTTAATGCTTTTATATTGTTTATAACACATATTATTCCAAAGAAGTGTTACCTAGAAGTAGCCTACACTAATATCTTAAGTGAGCAATCAAAAAAACAAATGCGGTAAAGAAAAATTATTTAAGATGAAGAAAATTAAGTAAGATGGAGGGGGGGAATGGGACAGGACTGAGCAGATGGAACCCATCTTCTGGCTGCTACATATGTAAACAAATGTCCATATGCCAAATATAGTCTTGTTACAGAATATTTATAATAACAGTCAGTTGTTATTAAATAATATTATTAATGAACAATCTATTTTATTAAGCGCATAATCTATTTTTAGAAACTGGATGAACCTGGATGAAACTATGGCAGTGGTTGTTTACTGCTACGACTAATTTAATCATGGCTCTGCAACAAAAAAGTGTTACTTCATTATGAACATTTTAGTGCTCAGAGGTTGCTCTTTCTAAGCTCAACTTGCAGTAGTTGTTATTCTGATGTACAGTATCTCCTATTTTATTATCAGCCCTGTCTCAGATGTTTCTCCTAATTTTTTTTTAGGGAGAAATAAGTCACAAATGAGATATGACAAAGTCTAAGTGAAAAGGAGTCAAAATGGAAAATGTGGTGGAAACAAGGGAGTTTTCTCACTCATGCTCCATTATGAAGCCTTTGGAGCATAGGAGTTGGGTCTCACAACTACAATGGTGTGGTTGCAATAGATTGTGCCCCTATGGTGCAAGTTAGACCCTCATATAAATTCAGACTCTAAATTCTTCCATTCCACCATATTCCAGAAGACAACAGTCCAACTAGGGATTTTGAATGACTTTCTTGCTCCACACAACATCAGCGCACAGGAGATATTCCTAGATTTCACACGACTTCAACATGGTTAGGGTTACAACAGGCTGTACCCCCCATAGTGCATGTAGGGCCCCTTATGTTGAGTCAGACTGTACATTCTTCCATTTAGGGATAAGTTTCCACACTTTCATGCTTTGACTATTGGAGAGAACACTGCTGTGGAGCTTGCCTCAGTGTGGCCTCAGCAGAAGTGTGCATCTAAGCTGTATAGCAGCCATAAATGAGAACTCGAGAATGACACCCTAAGGTCTTGTAGACTTAACAGACACACACACACACACACACACACACACACACACACTGCCTGCCTCATTAGAAGACTCAGATTTCGCGAAAGGAAATGCATTCCCTGTTAAAGAAAGGAGTATTAAAGTAAGTGTCTCCTTCTCTTCTGCAGCCGGCGTTTTCTGATGCCAAAGAAAGAGGGTGGTTTACGCCAGATCATGGGATTTGCTGTGGGTGCGGCCCACAGTTAACGTGTTCTTGGCTGCGATTGCTACTGAGCATGTACCAGCTGATGGTGTTTCTTTTTTGCATTGTTTCTTATTTCATGCATTGGACAAGATGGCTGAGACCTATGCTTGTGTTCCTTCTTGGGACTTGTCTTTAGTCCTAATGGGGCCTCTCATGACAGTTTTGTTGCTGGCCTTGACAGCTCCCTGGACAAAAGAGGAGGGTTTATCACTCTGCACAGGATTTGTGCTGTGATGGATTTACAGATTTACAACGATCATATGAGCTGTGGCATAAATCTGATCAACTGTTTACTTGTTTTGGTGGCTGCAACATGGGTGCTGGTATAGTGTTCCCATAGTTCAGCTCCTTGTGCTGCTTTGAGTAAACCTATGAAAACCTCAGTTACATAACCCTGGTTCCCTTAGTAGTGAATAAGACACTGCTTACTTAGCTCTGCAATACTTCTTGGTTTCTGCTACAATTTCCTTTCAAGTATAATTTGAGGAGCGATGGCACAGGCGTATCCTTTTGAGACATCGAAGATGCCCTCAGAGGGCAGCTTTAGATCCATCAGCCAATTGGTGTGATTCTATATGGGCTTCAGACAATAGTTCTGAAACTTAAACAGAGACTAACGTGAGAGCTCTACAGTC